ATAGATTTTTGCGCTGATCATGTATATACTTTATAGGGTCGGAAATGATTATTTCGATGCGTTACAAACGGAAAAACAAATCTAATATACCCTACATGCTATGGTGGAGGGTATAACAAATGAAAGAAAGATTCTTCTATAAAGGGACCATCTAATTTTTACACAGCATATTAAAAACGTTGTAATCTCGAGTTGTGTGGAATGTGGAACCGTCTTGTTGAAATGTGACAATTTATGGTGTAGTTTCTACTTATCAAATATCAAAGAATCAAAACACCAAAATAGACACACACCGGTGGTGGATTTATTCGAAATTACTGTTAACACACTAATTGATACTATAATGGATTAATAGCCGTATTCGAAGTAATTACAAATGTAAAATCAATCCGAAATGGTGTTATATTACAGAAAGTTTTTTTTCATATCACAACTACCGCTTAGTCCGGCAAAACAGGATTTTTTGGTTCCAATAAAAAGTTCATCTCTTGACCTCAACCACTATTTGACTAGCAAAAAATCCCTGTTAAATAATTCAAGTGGCCTCCAAAAGTTCTAGAAATTGGCATTAAAACATCGTGAAAAACGTTAATGACAATGTCATTCACGTTGATTGCTTGAGTATGCATTGGTGGCACCTTCAAATATTTTTTTTGGCACGCTCGAACGTAGAATTTCACACTAATGCCACAAAAGTTTGTTGCCTAAATACAGCAGGGTGATGGTAGTCCAGAATAGACAAGCACAGGCACGGCTATTGCAAATATTTTCCGAGAATAAACGACGTTAGGCAAACCACGAAAAACTCATTATTGTGCAATTTGATTTGAATCGTTCTTTTGTAGTTGATGGAGGAGAAGAGCAAAGAGGAAAAGAGCATACCTACCGACCAAGCACGAAAGTGCAAATTACAATGAAGGATTTTTAACGAATGATAAAAGTTTTAAAAACGTTTTTTTTTCTTTCTCTTATGTTTTATTTGTTGTTTCTGTCAAAACTATCTACGAATTTTGGCATCTAACGGGTAATAATGATTTCTTGGGGAGAATTGTTTGAAGAGGATTTGCACAAAAGAAGAAAACATGATTATTCAGTTGAGTAAAACGTTGATCGAGGCATTCCATTTTCAATATCTAACATTTAAGGAGTAGTAGCAAAGCATATCATAAAGATTTTGAGCTCGATCCAGCATCGACATAGAAATCAAATTTTTCTTCATAGAAGAAGAAGAGCTTAAGGTCTTATTCTTAGTCATAGAAGAGCTGAAGGTCTTCTTCTACCATAGAAGAGCTGAAGGTCTTTTTCTCCTTCATAGAAGAGGTGAAGGTCTTCTTCTCCTTCATAGAAGAACTGAAGGTCTTCTTCTTCATAGAAGAGCTGTAGGTCTTCTTCTCCTTTATAGAAGAGCTGAAGTTCTTCTTCTCTTTTATAGAAGAGCTGAAGGCCTTCTTCTCCTTAATAGAAGAGCTGAAGGTCTTCATCTCCTTCATAGAAGAGCTGAAGGTCTTCTTCTCCTTCATAGAAGAGCTGAAGGTCTTCTTCTCCTTCATAGAAGAGCTGAAGGTCTTCTTCTCCTTCATAGAAGAGCTGAAGGTCTTCTTCTCCTTCATAGAAGAGCTGAAGGTCTTCTTCTCCTTCATAGAAGAGCTGAAGGTCTTCTTCTCCTTCATAGAAGAGCTGAAGGTCTTCTTCTCCTTCATAGAAGAGCTGAAGGTCTTCTTCTCCTTCATAGAAGAGCTGAAGGTCTTCTTCTCCTTCATAGAAGAGCTGAAGGTCGTCTTCTCCTTCATAGCTGAAGATCTCCGTCTCCTTCATAGAAGAGCTGAGGGTCTCCTTTTTCATAGAAAAGCTGAAGATTTTCTTTTTCAAAGAGTAGCAGAAGATCTTCTTCATAGAACAACTGGAGGTCATTTTCTTCATAGAAGAAGAGGAGGTCCAGTTCTTCTATGAAGAAGAGGACCTCCAGTTCTTCTATGAAGAAGAGGACCTCCAGTTCTTCTATGAAGATGAGGATCTCCAGTTCTTCTATGAAGAACATCTTCTGCTCTTCTGTAAAAAAGAATAGAAGGGTTTTTTCTTCATAAAAAAGCCGAAGGTCTTCTCCTAAAATGAGGTAATGGAGAGGATTCCCCAAACAAGTTGACAACATCATATTATATCGATATACGGCACGATATAAGGAGGCATCCTCTAGCAGCTCTCAGGGCGGCATTTAGTCAGGTTTTAATTCTGTGCCAGTGACGCTACACCGGCGTCACACAGCTCATCATGTTGTTTCTACTTCTACTACTATTAACCAGTAAGGAAAGTAGTAAAGTCGGACTGGGCCGACAATATGATACCCTTCACCACTTTGTGTACATATGTATCCGAAAAGACATCGCCTTCTTGAAGGAATTTTGACATGAAATTGAACGAACTTAAATATGTGATTTTTATATCTTTCTGGAACCTATGCTAAATTTCATTTCAATTTGGTAAGTTTAGAGTCGTTTGCGCACAGTGTGACAGATTTGTTTAAATCGATTTAAAGCAAGCTTGACACACGATATTCGGTATGCTGCTCTGTTAAAAATTTAATCTCAATAAATAAGTCGAAATTATATGGAAGCTACGAGATATGTGTATATCTGAACCGATTTGAAGCAAACTTGCCATGATTAATTTATACTAATTTCAATACGTTGTGTCAATCGGCCTAGCTTTGGATCTTTAGTGCACAATTTACTTAAATCGGACGAAAATATATATAGGAGGTGTACACATCATTCCAGACTTAATTCAATACGCTATGCCAAAATTCGTGCAAATCCAATGATTTTCAGGGACTTTGGTGCAACATTTACCTAAAATCGGGCAAAACTATATATGGGAGCTATATCTAAACCAGAACCGATTTTCAGGAAACTTAGCACACATCATTCTAGACCTAATTCAGTAGGCTGTACCAAATTTCAAATCGAAAGATATTTAGGGACTTTGGCACCCCATTTACATGAAATCGGAAGAAAATATATATGGGAGCTATATCTAAATCTGAACCGATATTCACGAAATTTATCACGCATCGATCTAGACTTAATAAGATACGCTATGCCAAATCTCGTGAAAATCGATGGATATATAGGGACTTTGGTACCCCATTTACCTAAAATCAGACGAAAATATATATGGGAGCTATCTAAATCTGAACCGATTTTCACGAAACTTAGCACACATCATTCTAGACCTTATTCAGTAGGCTATACCAAATTTTATGCAAATCGAAAGATATATAGGGACTTTGTTACACCATTTACTTAAAATCGGGTGAAACTATATATGGGAGCTATATCTAAATCTGAACCGATTTTCGCGAAACTTAGCACACGTCATTCTAGACTTAATTCAATACGCTATGCCAAAATTCGTGTAAATTAAATGATTTTCAGGGACTTTGGTGCACCATTTACCTAAAATCGGGCGAAACTATATATGGGAGCTATATCTAAATCTGAACCGATTTTCACCAAACGTGGCACACATCATTCTAGACCTAATTCAGTAGGCTGTACCAAATTTCGTGCAAAACGAAAGATATTTTGGGACTTTGGTACACCATTTACCTTAAATCGGACGAAAATATATATGGGAGCTATATCTAGATCTGGACCGATTTTCCCAATTTCAATAGGGTTCGTCCTTGGGCCAAACAAATGAGCTGTGCCAAATTTCATCCAATTCGGATCATAAATGCGACCTGTACATTGTTTACAATTTAACATGGACAGACGGACGGACGCATAAATCGACTCAGAAAGTGATTCTATGCATATTCTCAAAAGGAACCATGGGTCTATCAAGATTATTTTTGCCTATTACAAACATATTCACAAAGACATAATACCCTGTACCACAGTGTGGTGAAGGGTATAAAAATAGCGGTGGCTTGAGGAATTTAGTGAAGTTTGTGGTTTTGACGCTAGATATTTTCACGTTCTTCACATAAAGGAATTGTATAAAATTTGTCATCGACATCTCTCTAAATCGAGACCTACGTTTGTGGAAGTTCAGAAACGTAGAGATTAAACTGTTCCAGAGTCACTCCTTGGATAACTCCCTGCTAAAATCTAGAGATCTGTGACTTCTCCTCCTTTCTGAATTCCTCTTAAGTAAAATCCTGTTCTATTGCAGGTCCTGTTCTGGTTTTCGACTTATGTGAGTGGGTATGGCTTTTAATGCTGTTGTGATTGATGTTGAGCGACAGGAAACATGTTTTTATGTGTCGGAGGAATAGTTGCTTCAGCGTATTTATTAAAGGAGACAGAAGTAAAATCGATTCACTTCTGCTGGCACCCCTTTTGCCTCAGAGTGCACTTATGTAGCGTAACACGCCCTGTTTCTCTCACGTCTTCACATCTATCACCGTACCATCTTTATATATGACAGCCGTTCCACACGTGAACATTTACTTGCTTGAATAGTAAGTTCCTTCACTATTGAACGGGATTTTTCTTAGCTACACGAGGCCAGCTCTTTGAAACATTGATTGTTTAAGTGATCTTGCCAATCAGATTTAACATGGTTGCGGAAAATATGGCTGATGTTTACCGGTTATGAAATAGGTAGAGGATGATGATGAGGGGGTGGTCAGAACCAGAAGGAAATGGTCTTGTTGCCAGGTGTTTTGGCAGACCAGGTGCAACGACAATATGACAATCTCTCCTAATTTGCTCCGCTGAGTACCCTTAGCGGCTTCGTATATATATATATATATATATATATCTATGATACACATTTCCATTTATTCACATATATGTATCTCTATGAACATAATTTTATTAATCCATATAACAATTCATGGATTCTAAAAACACAAATTTACTTCCCATTTTTCCACTTACACCAACTTCAAAATATCCCCCTGATATTTTCATTACAAATTAATTAAAACTAATTAAAAATTATGTATTTCTGTATTTTTCCATTCTATTTTCGTTGTAAACTTGTTACACCAACAGTACATCTCACGGTGACTCCGCAGAAAAGATCCTCCACATCGGCAACAATAAAACGGCCAGCCAGCAAACGAAGCCAAAAGACAGTCACACCGCAAATGCGAAATCCAGTAATTCATTACACGGGGGATTTTTACGTTGAAACCGTATCGCTGTTGAATGCTCATGAACGTGGCAGTTTTGTGAGTGAAACGGTAGCTGCTGCTGGTGGTGGTGGCGGCAACAAGTTGCCAATTTCATGGTTCGCCTCGGCACAACAAAATGGAAAACGCCAACCAGCGGTGATGATGAAAAATGCTAAAGGCTCTATGATGGGCGGTGGCAATGGTAAAAAAGCCAGTCCCAGAGAAGAGTTTGCGGAAACATTGCACAAAAATGATTTTAGTTCTTCATCAGCATCCTCAGCGGAAGAGGCAGCTGCAGCCAAGAGAACATTAGATGATGGCGATGTCCCGGATGATGTTGAATATATTGGTCATATACCAACAAATATATTTTTTAAAGATTTTGCCAAAGTACGAAATGCTTCGAAGCTAAAACGTGAACGTGAACAACAGCATCAGGCAAATCAGGCAAAAAATCTTCATCAGAGTCAAGTCGATGCAGACAGCAATGCAAGATGGTATTACGACAAAAAAGAATTGCCATCATCATCATCGTCCTCGGCGAATTCTAAAAGATCTATGTTATCTGTTGTATCGGGTGCAACGTCGAATGATGCCACAATAGAAACGTCGAAACAACACCAAGAAAACGAAAATCAACAACAACCACTACCTACAAAACAACGACGTGCTGTAATATCGGATGAGTATAGCGAATCATGTCCGGATAACAAATGGCAAGGAACTGTCAGAAGCCATACTAATGCTGCGGGCGGTATTAGTAGTGAAACCAGTGCCATGTGGTGGCTTAATGAGCTCTGCGAGCAGAATGATATTATTGAATTTAGGTAAGTTGCAGGAAGAGGCACTTTTTGGAAAAGGTTTTTTTTTTGAAAAATGCAAATGCAAGTAATGTAGTAACAGCTTGAGAAGTTTAAAAAAATGAGACTAGTGCTCAGCTGTACATAGAAAATTATACCAAAGCCATGCATAAATAATATAATAATACATTTAAATGGTAGTAAAAGTTCCAGGTGGTTTTCTTTAAACCACATACCATTTATAGCTACCAAGAAGAGACCTCTCCCCTATATAGAGGATTCTTTTTATAAATAATACTATACGGGATCCTCTCTTAGGAGAAAAAACTTTTGAATTTACCATACATAAGTATTGCCTTCCAAATACAAGAGATTTTCTAGAAGTAGAATTTAGAGGAAAACCTACAAACAAAAGTCACGCCAAGAAAAAGACCTTGGGAATGCCTTTTATGAACAGAATTACTTTTAGAAGACTTGTGTAGATATAAATACAGTCGAATTCGGTTAAGCGAAAACACCCATTTTCAATTTTTTTCTCTTAAGCAGGATTTTCAATTAAAATCCTTGCGAAGTTTTCAATCAGTATCTGAAAAATCGTGAAATTTATAAATCATATTATAAAATAAATAGAGTAAGGACTTATTTTTTTGTAGACATTTGCTTGGAAGGTTGGAAAAATGAGCAACATATGTTTAGGGTTGCACATACAAAATTTAATGAAGTTTGTCGCCATTACAAAATTGATATTTTTTCTCTTAAACGGTGCTCGTTTCATATATTTGTGTTTTCGCAATAAAAAAGTATTTCTCTTATACAGATTTTCAATTAACCGGTTTTTATACCCTTCACCACACTGTGGTACAGGGTATTATGTCTTTGTGCATATGTTTGTAACAGGCAAAAATAATCGAGAAAGACCCATGGTTCCTTTTGAGAATATGCATAGAATCACTTTCTGAGTCGATTTATGCATGTCCGTCTGTGCGTCCGTGTATTTTTGTAAAGAAAGTACAGGTCGCATTTATTATCCGATTTGGATGAAATTTGGCATAGGTCACTTAAT